CCCTCCCTCTTCCATTCCTTCATCTCTTGTTCCCCTTTTTTTTTTCAAAAGATCTATCTCTCCATTTCCCATTATCTAAATTTTATTTTGCTCTTTTATTTGTTTATATTTTGGCTTTCTAATATAAGAGAAGTCGTGCAACACTTAAGCTTGTGTGTCTCATTTATTTCAGTTAATATTATATTCTCAAAGTATACCCATTATCTGACAAATGACTCAGTTTTTTTTTTTTCTTTATGGCAGAGTCAAAGTAACAGCCAAGTGTGAAGATAAAAACCTAAAGTATAAGGAAAAGAACTGGCACTTACTCATTTGGCAGAGGATTGATATCTAGAATACACAAAGAACTCAAAATTAGACCCCCCCCTAAAAAATACCTGATTAAAGAATTGGCAGCTGAAATGAAGACACTTCACAGAAGAAAAAATTAAAATGGCCAATAAATACATGAACAAGTGTACAGTATCTTTGGCCATCAGAGAAATACAAATTAAACCAACACTAACATTCCATCTCACTCAGTAAAGAATGGCTATCAGGAAATCAAATAACAAATGCTGGTAAGGCTGTGGAGAAAAAATGAATCTTTTTACACTGTTGGGAGGGATTGCTATTTCTGAGAGTGGTACAATCATTATGGAAATAAGTTTGCATCAAGAGCAATTCTACATAATTTTGAGGAAAACTCATTTCACAAATTATGATGAGGCCTAGTTCTCTGGTCTACAGGCCAGCTATGACACGTGGAGACATAACTCCATTTTCACCTCTGGTCACAGCTAAAACCTCAATGGTCTGGTGATGTTGTGATGCTCCAGGGCAAGATTACACCAGCTGGAGGCTTCCTGGGAGGAACAAAATCTTCATCTGCATGGTTCCTCATTGTTGTAGGATTTTCACCTCAGCTGCCCTCTGAGCCACCTGTTACGTTGATACCCTCAGAGTCACCGTTCACATATGTTTCTCCTGAGATCCAAATAAAGATGTGGTAAGCTCAGTTTGGGTCCAGAGTAGAACTGATGAGGCCCAAAGCTCAGCTTCTTCTCTAACTCTCATTTTCTTTCTATTCTGTCTAATTAATTAATTCACTTTGTATTCTCGTGTCTTGCAGGAGACTAGGACTTACTGCAGAGATTCTAGTAATGTCCCTTTCCCTGTTCCCTACAGGTATAGAGATTCGTCAAAAAACTAAAACTAGAAACTCCACTTCACCAACCTATTCTAATTTTAGGTATCTTCCCAAAAGGGCCAAATACATCATATCACAGTGATACCTGCATGCCTATGTTTACAGTAGAATCTTACTCTTTTTTATTTTGTTCTTAAATAATAGTGAACAATCAAGATTATCCATTATTAGAAATAACTAATAAAAGGGAATATGTTTGGATAATACAGTATGTAGAAAAAGTAACCCATAAACAATTAAATATATCTTCATAGTATTAATATTTATAGAGATATAGAGAGGATTTTACATCCATGAACCAAGAGCAGCAGTGTGTGTGTGCGTGTGTGTGTGTGTGTGTGTGTGTGTAAGGAATATCAAGAAACATCTTTGGATTTTAGGAAGATAAAAAAAGATTCAGAATGAAACATGTTATAATGAGACTCACATTGAAACACATTATATTGAAACACATTACAATCAAATCATCAAAACTCAAAATACAGTACATTAGACTGAGTCTTGAAAACAGCAAGAGAAGAATGATTTGTAATATACAAGGGAGCTCCAATAAAACTATCAGTAAATATGTGAGGCCAGAAGGTAGTGAAATGCTATATTCAAAGTGCTAAAAGAGAAAAAAATGTTGATCGAGAATTTATATATTTGGCAAAAATCTCTGTGATAGTAAAACTTATTTGCTAACTTGGACAGCCATGCTACTAAGATATTTGATCATACGCTATTCAAAATGTTTCTTTGATTTCATTTATTTATTTTTTTTTTTTGGTACCAGGGATTGAACTCGGGACCTTACACTTGCGAAGCAGCCAGCAGAACCACTGAGCTAATCCCCTGCACCACTTTGAAAATCTTTTAGATGAAATTGACACTTAAAACTAGTTGACTTTGTTCAAAGAGACAAAGAAAGACACTGTATAATGAGAAATCAGTTCACCAAGAAAAAATATATATACAAATATCACTCAGAGGTACAAAAATAACTAAGCAAATATTGAAGGAATTTAAGCAGAAATAACACTGACCTAATTTGTATGAATTTTGGAACTTCTATCAACCAGAAGCATAATCTAAATAAACATTAATTTGTGCAGTACTTAACTCCAGGTATTTTGATAGACAACATGAAATAGATTACTATACCTGCTAACAAAAGCCCATGAACAAGTGGCTTCACCAATGAAGTCTACCAAATATGTTTTTTTTTTAAAAGAAGTAACACTAATCCCCTAAAATTCTTCCAAAAAGTTGAAGAGGAGGAAATATCTGCTAATTCTATCTATGCAGTCATATTACCCTGATACCAAAGTCAAACACTCTACAGGAAAACTCCACAGATACTCTTTATGAATATTAATGCAAAATCCAAAACAAAATACTAACAAGCCGAATTTAACAGCATATTAAAAGGATTGCACAGCACAATCAAGTGGGATTTACTCCTAGGAAGCAAAGATGTTGCACCATATGGAAATCAATCAATGCAACACACCACATTAACAGAATGAAAGCTCAAAAAGTGTATGTTCACCTTGATAGATGCAGAAAATCATTTAATAAAATTCAATACTCTCTTAAGATAAAAATTACTCTGCACAATAGAAACAGAAGGAAACTACCTCCCAATAAAGGCCAATAAGCAAAAATCTACAAAAAAAGATCATTTTCCGTTATGACACTATTTTTTTCAAATTTGAGATCAGAAATAGAAGATAAATTTTTACCATTTTCACCTGAGGACCAATATAATTTGATCCCTCTTATATGAGATATGCAGAATAATCAAATTCGACCAACAGAAAGTACAATGGTGGTTGTCAGGAGGTGGGCTTAGGGGAAGTCGGGAATTGGTGTTTAATGGCTAAGATGTTACAGTTAGGAATAATATAAAGCAGTTCTGGAGATTATGATGGCTGCACAACCTGGATGTATTTGAGAGAACTGCAGAGTTTAAATG